GAATATAGGGGAACAGGTTCGACAGTAAAAACACGTGCTCGCCTAAAGAAAAACACGGCCGTGTCCATATTTAGGCACGACCGTGTTTTGGCCGACGAGGGCTGCTGGGGGCAAAACACGGGCGGGCAAAAGTAAAATACGGCCGTGTCCTCGATCGTGTTTTGCCCAGAATCGGGTTTTTTAGGCAGATTGAAGCCAAAGGAAAGTGAGAGTTGGGTTTTGGATCCAAAACACCCAAGGGACGAACCCTAGAAAGAAAGCGACTTGCGAACATTCTTGGAGATATTTTGGAGGATTTCTTTGCCATTGGAGCTCGAGAATCAAGCTTGGAGATGGAGATTGAAGATCAAGATCAGATTTCTGCAGTCTCTCTCTTCTCTATGGAGTAACTTCTCTTCACTTAGGTTTTGAGGAACCCTAGCTATGTTTTTTTGATTGGATGATTGTATGAGTACTCTGACTTGATAATCTTGAGTTCATATTCAATCTATACATGTTTTCATGATTCAATTCTGCTTTAGTCGAGATTATTGATTTTGCTTTGATCTTATGAGAGCGAATACCTTATTAGGTCAATAGAGCACCATAGATTGATAGTAGTGGATCGATTGCTTTAGTCGAGGATTGATTCACTGCTTTGTATCGATTGAGAACCTCTTTCGATAGAGGGATTCTAGTTCAGAACGCCTTGATCGGTTGTTCTAGAGAAGGATACGTCCCTATAGGCAATTGACTCAAGAGGGCCTTGTTCCTTTAGTCAAGACTCAAGGTCTAGTCAAGGATTCTCCGCATTGTGAATGAAAGTGAAACAAGTTAGAAATCATCAATCATTAATCTGGCTAGTGACTAGGGGGAATCATACCTAAGTGAGTTCCCAACCTGTAATTAAATTAACTTTAACTGTAGTTTGTCAGAGTAGTCTTAGTTCTTCCTTATTAATCTGGTTTGTTAAATAATGAACTGAAGCTGAGTAATAGTAACTCTAGAGACCCGTGGATTCGATATTTATTACTTGAGCCACTATACTGCAGCCCCTTTCATTGGTTACACTTAGCCATTGTTAGGTGTTGTGTCATAGCGTGTCAAGTTTTTGGCGCCGTTGCCAGGGACTTTCTAGATTATTAGGAAATGCAGAAGTTTGTTATTTTAGCGTTTTTCTTTTCTTTTCTTTTCCACCCTTGCTTTTTACTTGGGTGTTTTTGTTGGTGCAGATCTGAATCAAGGATCCTCACGGCTTCTCCAACCAGTGGGGGTATCCACCACCATCCGAGTGGTATTACCCCGAGACCCCCTGGAGCAATCAAGGAGGAGAAGACTATGGATTCGGATTCCATTACCAACCCCCTTACTACGGAGAACAATCAGACCCCTGGGCATATCAAGAACAACCTCCTTATCAAGAAGAATTTCTCCCACAACCAGAAGGGCCATCGGAGCTGGAGTTACCCATGGCGGCCTTCACGGGCCATTCTGCAGAGCCATGCTACACTCCACAGCCAGATCCAAACTATCAATTGAGGCTTCTCGCAGAGCAGATTGCTCGGGACTTCGAGAGACGAAATCGTAAGATGGACCTCCTTTTCTCATCTTTTGCTCCTCCTAACTCTTCATCCATCCATGAATCGGAGGAGACTGTTTCACACTCATCAAAGCGAACAGAGCGGGTTGAGCAAGTTTGTGCACAACTTGCTCAAGATCACCCGTCTGCTACCATACTAGAAGAGGAGGAGGAAGAAGAAGGCTACAAGGACATTGTGGAGCACAATGAAGTTGTCATAGAGAGCTCCCGTGATGATCATGATCAGGAATGTCCTGTCATAGCCGACCACACCTTCCCACATCCCAAACTGAGCTTTGAAGAGGCGGGCATGAGTGAGGAGATGCAAGAAGATCTCATGAAATAAATTGCTTGGCAACTTGCTCTCCAATCCGTGCTAGAAGAAGAAGAGCAAGAAAGGGTGCAGAAAGAAGTTGTCGAGGATGACGAAAGTGAAGCAGAAGGAGTTCTTGATCATTTCCCAGGGGTGATACCACATGAAGAAGAAAGGGAGGTTGAAGAAGCAATTGGCGTCCAGGCTGAGGACGGAGTTGAGGTGGAAGAGGCATGCACCGGCCACGAGTTACATGTGATATCTCCACCAAACTTCGAGGAACTACTTAGCAAGGACCCATTTGCAGTGTCTCTTTGCCAGACCAAGGCCACTTCGACATCGGTCCCTCTTGGTGGACGCAATGGTGGTCAATCGATGTTGTCATATCTGGTTTGGGGCAATGAGACGAGAGAAGAGAAGAAGATGTCTCGAGGGTGGAGACGTTATCTGGATCAAGTGCACGAGCTTCCATCACCTGTCATACCACATGTTCGTGACTTGAGACTCCACCTCATCGACGAGAACCTCAACTTCAAGGAGGTTTTGGGGTGGACCGAAACTTAGGAGCCATCGTCCGTCTCACGACGTGAAAGAAGCGCTTGTTGGGAGGCAACCCAACCAGTCGGTTTGCATTTCTTTCTCTTTTTCTCCTCGGTTGAGTCAGTTTTGTTATTTGAATTTAGATTCAATAACTCAAACTTTGTGAGATTTTGTGTGGTGTTTGTGTTCCGACTACTCTCTCCTCTTGGAATGCACCGCCTGCCTCGTCCACCATCATTCACCCTTGATCTGGTAACTTCGTTCTACCCTCCTTATCTTTCCTCCATTGAGGACAATGTCATGCTTAAGTGTGGGGGAATGTTAGATTATGTATGCGGGTGAATGTATGGCTGTTTGTGTGCTTGGAGCCTAGTCCACTGTCCAAATTTTTAAATTTGAGGGCTCCAAGTACGTGTTTCCTTGCAAATTATCTGCTCAGTATGCTTTGGATTGACAGTCTCTATAGTAATGTGCAACCTAGGGAGGTAGTATATCACTATGGAGGATGTTGAAGTATAAGATTTTTCCTATCTAGCTCTCTGTTGTGCCAGTTGATTTTGTGAATTAGTGGAGCTAAGACCGTTGAATTCATGTGGTAATGGTGATTCTGTTTGGATTGTGTTATGGACTCGTGTATCGAACAAGGTGAAGCTAAGCTGTCTCTAGTACAAGTAAAACTTCCACCCGTTGAACGGTTTGCCTACTTGAGGATGTGTTTTTAAGGGCACGGATAGAGCTTTCGACCCCCCTTAATTTCATTGACCCTCTACACGAGTTGAGGAAAAGGAGTTAAAAGAAGTACTCTAGCGAGCGCCAGATGTACATAAATTGCTCTTGCTCGACTAATAAGGGTCGACCGTGCAAAAGACTGGATTTGGAACCCCCACTAAGTGAATGAGAAAGGGAAAAAAAAATAAGTAAAATGAAAGTGAAAAAGGGGTTCCAACGGTGAAATGAAGTGAAAGAGCACCCCAGTACAACGAGTCCTTGGTTGTGAATGGTGTGAGTCCCTTTATCCATGAACTGACCGTCTTACTTCTACTTCTTCTCATGATCCTGGCTTGAGTCTAGTACTCGCATTGAGTAAGATAGGGGACGTCTTAGAAGACCAGTTGACCTCGTAAGCTGCTTTATGATCTAGAAAGTCCTCTACCGAGAATCGGGGTTGTTTGTTTCTATAGAGGTCTGGAGAGATGCATTGGTTTGAGTTAGGTTTGCTTGGGGGACAAGCAAACGGTTAAGTGTGGGGGGATTTGATGACTCGATATTTGCACATGTTTTCCCCTTTGTTTCTTGATCGTTTGAGCTTTAATTATCGTGTCTTTGGCCTATTTTATGCTAGTTTGTGTTCCTTTGTCATATTTCAGGTCCTAGCACATAAAGTGAAGCATAGGCGCAAGTTTCAAGTCAATTAGAGATCAATTGGCGATTAGGGAGAAGAAACTCGGGCATGACCTGAAGAATAATGGATTTCTACCTAACTTTATGAACAAAGAATCATGCAAGCTTGTCATGAAAAGAAAGAGGACGAGACTACGAGCGTCTGGGATCAAACGGCGACTGATTGGGAGTCCGGATGAGGGAGAAACGAAGCATTGAATATAGGGGAACATGTTCGGTAGTAAAAACACGGGCGCGCCTAAAGAAAAACACGGCCGTGTCCATATCTAGGCACGACCATGTTTTGGCTGACGAGGGCTGCTGGGGGAAAAACACGGGCGGGCAAAAGTAAAACACGGCCGTGTCCTCGACCGTGTTTTGCTCAAAATCGGGTTTTTTAGGCAGATTGAAGCCAAATGAAAGGGAGAGTTAGGTTTTGGATCCAAAACACCCAAGGGATGAACCCTAGAGAGAGAGCGCGACTTGGGAACATTCTTGGAGCTATTTTGGAGGATTTCTTTGCCATTGGAGCTCGAGAATCAAGCTTGGAGATGGAGATTGAAGATTAAGATCAGATTTCTGCAGTCTCTCTCTTCTCTATGGAGTAACTTCTCTTCACTTAGGTTTTGAGGAACCCTAGCTATGTTTGTTTGATTGGATGATTGTATGAGTACTCTGACTTGATAATCTTGAGTTCATATTCAAGCTATTCATGTTTTCATGATTCAATTCTGCTTTAGTCGAGATTATTGATTCTGCTTTGATCCTATGAGAGCGAATACCTGATTAGGTCAATAGAGCACCATAGATGGATAGTAGTGGATCGATTGCTTTAGTCGAGGATTGATTCACTGCTTTGTATCGATTGAGAACCTCTTTCGATAGAGGGATTCTAGTTCAGAATGTCTTGATCGGTTGTTCTAGAGAAGGATACGTCCCTCTAGGCAATTGACTCAAGAGGATCTTGTTCTTTTAGTCGAGACTCAAGGTCTAGTCAAGGATTCTCCGCATTGTGAATGAAAGTGAAACAAGTTAGAAATCATCAATCATTAATCTGGCTAGTGGCTAGGGGGAATCATACCTAAGTGAGTTCCCAACCTGTAATTAGATTAACTTTAACTGTAGTTTGTCAGAGTAGTCTTAGTTCTTCCTTATTAATCTGGTTTGTTAAATAATGAACTGAAGCTGAGTAATAGTAACTCTAGAGACCCGTGGATTTGATATTTATTACTTGAGCCACTATGCTGCAGTCCCTTTCATTGGTTACACTTGGCCATTGTTAGGTGTTGTGTCATAGCGTGTCAGTCCCCAAGCAAACCTGACTCAAACCAATGTAAATCTCCAGAACTTTATAGCAACACGCAACCCTGATCGTCGGTAGCAGACTTCCTAGATCATTTAGCAGCTTACGAGGTCAACCGGTCTTCTAAGACGTCCCCTATCTCTCTCAATGCGAGTACTAGACTCAAATCAGGATCAGGCGAAGTAGTGGACCTAGGACAAACAATTCATGGATAAAGAGACTCACACAACACTCACAAACTTGGACTCTTGTATCGGGTGCTCTTCTCATTTCATTTCATTTGTTGGAACCCCTTTTTCTTAATTTTTTTCTTTGTCTTTCATTTCATTTACTGTTGGGGTTCCAACTGCAGTTATGCGCGGTCGACCCTTATTGGTTGAGCAAGAGAAATTTCTGTACATCTGTCGCTCGCCAGAGTACTTATTTTAAATCCTTTTCCTCAGTTCGTGCGGAGGGTCAATGAAATTAAGGGGGGTCTGAAGCTCTATCTGTGCCCTTAAAAATACATCCTCGAGAAGGCAAACCGTTCAACGGGTGGAAATTTTACTTGTACTAGAGACACCTTAGCTTCACCTTGTAGGAGTACCCCACTAAGGATCACTAAAACTCTTCCAAAACCCAAATTTGTGCAATGAACGATGCCACACACGTTGGACTTGCCCCATGTTTAAGATTTTAGATTATTTCCATGGGGGACCAACTGCGTTTCATTAAGTACACTGAGCACATTCTCATGATACAAAAGTCCAAACACAGCAGAAGTAATCCATATCACATGAATCAAAGGTCCTAAAGCCATAGTTCACACAATCAACCGGCACAACAAGGAGACAGATAGGAAAAATCTTATACTTCTGCATCCTCCATAATGCTACAACTACCTCCTTAGGTTGCATACTACTATAAAGGCTATCAATTCGAAGCATACTGAGCAGGAAATTGCAGGGAACACGTACTTGGAGCCCTCAAATTTAAAAATTTGTAAAGTGGATTAGGCTCCAAGCACACACATACAGCCAAACATTCACACGCATATATAATCGAACACCCCCCCCACACACACACTTAAGCACGACATTGTCCACAATGGAGGAAATAAGGAGGGTAGAAAGAAGTTACCAGATCAAGTGTGAATGATGGTGGACGGGGCAGGCGGTGCATTCCAGGAGGAGAGAGTAGTCGGAACACAAACACCACACAAAATCTCACAAAGGTTGAGTTATTGGCTCTAAAATCAAAGAACAAAATTGACTCAACCGAGGAGAAATAGGGAAAGAAATGCAAACCGACTGGTTGGGTTGCCTCCCAACAAGAGCTTCTTTCACGTCGTGAGCCGGACGATGGCTCCTAAGCTTCGGTCCACCCCAAAACCTCTTTGAAGTTGAGGTTCTCGTCGATGAGGTGGAGTCTCAAGTCATGTGCAAGTGGTATGACAGGTGATGAAGGCTCGTGCACTTGATACATATGAAGTCTCCATCCTCGAGACCTATTCTTCTCTTCTCACGTCTCACTGCCCTAAACTAGATATAACAGCACCGATTGACCACCATCGCGTCCACCAAGAAGAACCAATGTTGATGTGGCCTTGGTCTGGCAAAGAGACACTGCAAATGGGTCCTTGCTTAGCAGGTCCTCGAAGTTTGGTGGAGATATCACATGTAACTCATGGCCGGTGCAAGCCTCTTCCACCTCAACTTCATCCTCGTCCTGAAAGCCAATTGCTTCTTCAACCCCCATTCCTTCTTCAAAATGTAGTATCACCCCTGGGAAAAGATCAAGAACTCATTCTGCTTCACTTTTGTCATCCTCCACAACTTCTTTCTGCACTGACTCACTTCTACTGTCACTCCAGGAATTGGCCAAGTGAAACCACTTCCTAAAGCGTAGTATAGTGGGTTTAGTTTAATTATCAACCCGGGTCCTAGATTTGATGACTACTCAGTGAATTCTTGTTATCTAGCAATGAAACTTTAGTGCAAGTCTAAACTAACAAACTAACTAAGCAAGTAAACGGTTGTATTCAGGTTATGAGAGGTCACCCGGATATGGTTCCCCCTAGACTGCAATTAAGCCGGATTGTAATTACCAAGTTCAGTTTCTATGACAGTTATACTGCGGAAGAAAACAGCCTGAAGTATCGACTAAAGGTCTTCAGACCCTCTCAATCTGAGTCTCTAGCGGGCGACTAACCTCCACCGGAGTAAACAGATTGAGGCCTTAACAAACAAAACCTCCACTACCGGAGTAAATCCGGTACAGAATAGTGAGTTGGCTCCTCGACTAAAGTCACCAACTCCCTACCTTCAAACAAGGATGCTCTATCAACCTAGTCAGATATTCTCATTCTAGGTTAAAGCGGAAACAACAGGAATTTGATCAGGATTCAAGTCATTCAATCATTCAAACCTCAATCGAATATAATCAAATCACAGAATCAGTACTTGGGTTCATACAATCAAAGCCTAACATACAAATCTAGGGTTCTCCATACCCAGATGAATGGGAGAGCTACTCCATGGAGAAAGAAGCAAAAGCAGAATCAGACGCGGAATTCATACTGTGAAGGATGGATTCCTGCTCCTGGACGTTGATCGGCACTTCTCCAAGCTCAAACTGGCCTCCAATGGTGTTGAACATCAAGCTAGGGCACTTGGAGACTCTTGTTCGTCGCTTTCTCTCTCTAGGAATCGCTCTGTCTCTCTAAAACTCGAATCCCCTCGACTTGTGGCTGGAAATCTGCTTAAAAGCAGAAAATCCCGACTCACACGGGCAGGCTGCACGGCCGTGTGGCCCACCCAGTTGCCCGTGCGAGTCAAAACGCAGCGTATCAATTAGCTGAATTCCAGGCTTCTTGCACGGCCAGGGTCGCACGGCCGTGTGAAATTTCCATCCTGCCCGTGTTTGCTCTCGCAGAATTCCACGCGGCCAAAATGCATCCTCACACGGCCGTGTGGGTTGTGGGTGTGCCCGTGCGACCTCCTTTGTGACTTGTCTCGTGCCCGATCTTCGCCCAATCGACCCCGAACTCGCTCCTAAACCTTCATTCACTTGCCAGGACCTGAAATATCACAAACAAGCACAACCTAGCGTGAAATCAGTCTAAAACACGAGAAACCACATCTCAAACGGTGTAAGAACAGGGGTGAAAACATGTGTAACTAACGGTCTATCAAACTCCCCCACACTTAACCGTTTGCTTGTCCCCAAGCAAAACTAACTCAAACCAATGCAACTCTCCAGACCTCTATAGCAACAAACAACCCAGATCGTAGGTAGAGGACTTCCTAGATCATTTAGCAGCTTACGAGGTCAACCGACGCACAAGTCATCTCATAGCTTCTTCGGCGAGAGCACTAGTATCGAGTCGGCATCATGGCAAATAGTGAACAGAGGACAAATGAATTGTGGATGAAAAGATTCTCAAAAACAAAGGATCATGGACTCACATTTTTCAAGGTGCTCTATTTTCTTTTTGAAGATGGTTGGAACCCCTTTTCTTTCTGTTTTGCTTGTTTTCTGTTTTTTTTTTCAATGGTCCCCCAACCTGCTCTTACCGGCCATGCCAGGAGCGGATGTCTCGAGCCTCGTGCGGGGGAAAGACATGAAAGGGGGCTGGAGGTAGTAGGTGGAAATTGGGAACGAATTCCCGTCTCCCCTTACACACTTTCGCCCTATTCGCACGGGAGACGTTATTTTGAAGCACAATTTCGAGCACCTGTTAAACTCAAAACATGATACAAGAGTCCATGACAGGTAGAGAGTCCACAACATCACATAATTCAAGGGTCCTAAGATCACTAATTCACTCAATCAACCAACACAATATGAAGAAGAAATGAGACTTCTTAAATGCATCAACATCCTCCATAGTGCTACACTACCTCCCTAGGTTGCATATTACTATAAAGGCTGTCAATTCAAAGCATACTGAGCAGGTAATTGCAAGGAACACGTACTTGGAGCCCTCAAATTTAAAAATTTGGACAGTGGACTAGGCTCCAAGCACACAAACAGATCTCATGCAGTCAAAAGATAAACATCCCCCCACACTTAAGATCGACATTGCCCTCAATGGAGAAGAGGGAAGAGAAAGGGGAACGATGTTACCGGTATGCACGGACTGCAGGGGACTGGAAGCGGACCAGTCGGAGTGAAGCGGACTGGAGAGAGGACCAATCAAGCCAAGCACAGCTAGAGGAAACCAAAGAGCTCAAACACAATATGTTAGGTCCAATGTCAGCCCAATAAGACATCATCCAGAACAAAAGAAAACAAACCAAAACCAAACTGGTTTACAATCCGACTCAAAACACAAGAAAGAAAGTCAAACCGTGGTGGGGTTGCCTCCCCACAAGCGCTTCTTTACCGTCTTTTAGCTGGACGCCCATGGTGGATACTCAGGGGGGTGAAGGAACAGGTGCCTCCAAGAGCGGATCCACGTCGCTCTTGAGGTACAGCTTAAGGTTGTGGCCATGCACCCGACGGAGGCGACCACCATCATCAGTAAGCTCGACCTGGCCATCTGGTAAGATGCAGGCGAGTGAGTACCCGGACGGCCAGGGTGGTCGTGGTGCCGGAGGTGGGACCAGCTCATAGTGGTCTCCACTCTTCTTCCGTGCAGGCTTAGCAACCTGCTGCTTCGGCCGCCACTCCTCCTTGAGCTTTTTGTTCGGAGGTGAGGCTGGATGGAGTAGCGGCGAAGGAATAATAGGAGGGTCCTGCAAAATAAGAGGTGCAGAAGGGTACACGACAGGCTCGTGTACCTGATCAGAAATGGCATGCACAGGCGTGACAGCAATCATAGCACAGTGATCAAATTCAGTCACAGAAAAAGTAGCCTGTTCATTCCCAGCACGCAAGATCAGTTTACCATCATGCACATCAATAAGTGCCTTGGCGGTGGCAAGAAATGGTCTACCCAGAATCAAAGGCACATCCACATCCTCATGTATATCAAGAATAACAAAATCAACAGGATATGTGAATGCACCAACACTAACAAGCAGATCCTCTATGATTCCCCTAGGATGCACAATGGAACGATCAGCTAGCTGAATGCTCATCCTAGTAGGGCTAAGTTCACCTAGGTCTAGCTTTTTATACAACTTATATGGCATGACGTTTATGCTAGCGCCTAGGTCCGCCAAGGACTTGCCTACATTCATGCTGCCAATAGTAAGAGGGATAGTAAAACTCCCTGGGTCTTTTCGCTTCTCGGGCAGCTTGTTCTGCAGGATAGCAGAACACTCCTCACTGAGCATCACTGTCGAAAGATCCCCAAGTTTCTTCTTTCATGAACTTGGCATACTTGGGCATCTTCGACAGTGCCTCCACGAACGGTATGCTGATGTTGAGCTGCTTCAACATTGCCATGAACTTGGCAAACTCACTCTCCAGCTTGTCTTTATGTAGGCGAGTGGGGAAGGGAAGCTGGGGCACATGCTCCTTAACCATTGGTTGTGGCTTGGGAGTAGGGGCTTCCTTCTCCACCCGCACTTCTGCATCGTCAGATGGAAGTGCTGAAGCAGGTAGTGGTTCCTCCTGTCTGGCCGGGACAGGATCAGCAGATATGGTTTTACCGCTCCTGGTAAAAATGGCATCCAGCTGCTGGTGCTGGTGAAGATCCCGAGGATTCGGGATAGTGGTGGCAGGCAGAGTCCCCGGTGCCCTGGTAGTGTTTTGGCGGGCCAAGATGCCCACCAGGGTCTGCAAATCTTGCAAAATGGCACCCTGGTTCCGCTGACCTGCCTCCAGTGACGTGATAGCAGCCTGAGTGCTAGTCATGAATGAAGCTAGAATATTTTCCACCTTTGTCATCCGGTCATCTGGGGCAAGGGCTGCTGCTGGCTTGATAAACTGGCGCTAGGGCTGCTGGAATGGTTGCCCCTGCCTAGGCTGGTAGGGCTGCTGCTATGGGGCTGGCCCCATGTCGAGCCTGGAAGGGCTGCCTCTGCTGAAAACCACCTGCTGGTGCTGGGAAACCAGGTGGTTTAGTGGTGTTGCTGCTCCAGGCGAAGTTGGGATGCTGGCGCCACCCCTCATTATATGTGCTTCTGTACGGGTCGAGGCGCCGAGCATTGGCGATGAAGTCCAACTGCTCTTGGGGAGTGGTAGACTCCCTCATAGCCTGGCAGTCCTCCACTAGGTGATTGGAGCTCTCGCACCACTAACATTGAGCTACTGGAGGTGTAGCCAAACCTCTGCCCGGAATAAGACTGTTGGGTTGCTTCAATGTCTGCACCAGCTCAGCTACCTGCTGCTCGAGCCCGGATCTGGTCTCCATGGCGTGCACACCACGGTCCCGGGACTGTCTGCCTCGGCTACCCTGTCCCCAAGAATGATCTCTGGCAGCCAAAGTACTGATCATCTGGTTCAACTCGGGTGGAGTCTTAGTAAGAATATCCCCTCCTGGGCATAGAGACTCAATCACCCTCTGGCTATCTGGAGAGAGGGCACTGTAGAAGTTCCCCACTGTGAATGCATCACTATAGCCATGATGGGGACGCTGCCAGAAATATCCCATGTACCGCTCCCAAGCATCACGGAGTGACTCATCTGGCTCTTGACGGAAGTGGGTGATCTCCCGCTGGATCTCTGTAGTCTTCGATGCCGGATAGTACCTGTGCACGAATTTTTCAGCCAGATCGTCCCAAGAGGTGATGGACAATGTGGGCTGGGTCTCCAACCACCTCTTAGCATTCCCCGCCAGAGAATGGGGGAAGAGATGAAGGCGGATTGCATCATCGGGGACACCATTCAGCTTGAACCCGTTCGTCAGCTGCAGAAAACGGGAAAGATGCACCCTGGCCTCCTCATCCTTCAAGCCATGGAACTGGATAGAGGATGTAATGAGCTGAATCCAGCATGGCTTGATCTCGAAGTTGTTTGCTGGAATAGGCGGGTAGAGGATGACCGGGCGGATGTCAGCAATCCGAGGAGTGTAGTAGTACTCCAAGGTGGGACCCGGCGGTGGTGGATGATGAACTCCATGATCCTGGGGTATGGGGTTGTTCCCCAGGACCTGATTCACCGGGGGAACCTGCTGAGGATTCCCCTGGTGCTGATTGTAGTCTCCGTCCATCCCGTACTCTTCTTCAGAATCGCTACTCAGGTGGCCGTCTATGCGCTCTTCCGTAGCCAGTCTAGCTCGCTGTTGTCTCCTGAGTTGGCGACAGGTGCGGTCAATCTCTGGATTCAACGGCAGTAAACCTCCCGACTGGCTACGGGTCATGCACTACCTGCACACACTCAAGCAAGCAAACCCGTGAAGGCACAAGTGGGACAAAGCAAACAAAGCGAAAAGAAAAGCTAAATTAACAGAAATCACTTTTCTTCAACAACCTAGCCGTCCCCGGTAACGGCGCCAAAAACTTGACTCACTTCTACTGTCACTCCAGGAATTGGCCAAGTGAAACCACTTCCTAAAGCGTAGTATAGCGGGTTTAGGTTTAATTATCAACCCGGGTCCTAGATTTGATGACTACTCAGTGAATTCTTGTTATCTAGCAATGAAACTTTAGTGCAAGTCTAAACTAACAAACTAACAAAGCAAGTAAACGGTTGTATTCAGGTTATGAGAGGTCACCCGGATATGGTTCCCCCTAGACTGCAGTTAAGCCGGATTGTAATTACCAAGTTCAGTTTCTATGACAGTTATACTGCGGAAGGTTCTTAAACAGCCTGAAGTCTTGACTAAAGGTCTTCAGACCCTCTCAATCTGAGTCTCTAGCGGGCGACTAACCTCCACCGGAGTAAACAGATTGAGGCCTTAACAAACAAAACCTCCACTACCGGAGTAAATCCGGTACAGAATAGTGAGTTGGCTCCTCGACTAAAGTCACCAACTCCCTACCTTCAATCAAGGATGCTCTATCAACCTAGTCAGATATTCTCATTCTAGGTTAAAGCAGAAACAACAGGAATTTGATCAGGATTCAAGTCATTCAATCATTCAAACCTCAATCGAATATAATCAAATCACAGAATCAGTACTTGGGTTCATACAATCAAAGCCTAACATACAAATCTAGGGTTCTCCATACCCAGATGAATGGGAGAACTACTCTATGGAGAAAGAAGCAAAAGCAGAATCAGACGCGGAATTCATACTGTGAAGGATGGATTCCTGCTCCTGGACGTTGATCGGCACTTCTCCAAGCTCAAACTGGCCTCCAATGGTGTTGAAGATCAAGCTAGGGCACTTGGAGACTCTTGTTCGTCGCTTTCTCTCTCTAGGAATCGCTTTGTCTCTCTAAAACTCGAATCCCCTCGACTTGTGGCTGGAAATCTGCTTAAAATCAGAAAATCCCGACTCACACGGGCAGGCTGCACGGCCGTGTGGCCCACCCAGTTGCCCGTGCGAGTCAAAACGCAGCGTATCAATTAGTTGAATTCCAGGCTTCTTGCACGGCCAGGGTCGCACGGCCGTGTGAAATTTCCATCCTGCCCGTGTTTGCTCTCGCAGAATTCCACACGGCCAAAATGCATCATCACACGGCCGTGTGGGTTGTGGGTGTGCCCGTGCGACCTCCTTTGTGACTTGTCTCGTGCCCGATCTTCGCCCAATCGACCCCGAACTCGCTCCTAAACCTTCATTCACTTGCCAGGACCTGAAATATCACAAACAAGCACAACCTAGCATGAAATCGGTCTAAAACACGAGAAACCACATCTCAAACGGTGTAAGAACAGGGGTGAAAACATGTGTAACTAACGGTCTATCATGCACCCTTTCTTGCTCTTCTTCTTCCAGCATGGATTGGAGAGCAACTTGCCAAGAAATTTCTTTGATGAGGTCATCTTGCATATCATCACTCATACCCACCTCTTCCAAGCTCGGTGTGGGATGTGGGAAGGTGTGGTCGGCTATGAGAAGACATTCTTGATCATGATCATCACGGGAGCTCTCCGTGACAACTTCTATCTGCTCCACAATGTCTTTGTAGCCTTCGTCTTCCTCCTCCTCTTCTAGTATGGTAGCAGAAGGGTAATATTGATTAGGCTGTGCATAAGATTTCTCAAGATCCTCGAGGCTCTTCTAAATGCTTAGGAGGATCTCCTCTATTTCACGATAGGCCTAGGTACAAAGATCCATCTTGGAGTATGATCTCTCAGTGTCTCGAGCAAATTACTCCATGAGAAGCCTCAATTCATAGTTTGGCTCTGGCCGTGAAGTGTAGCATGGTTCTGCAGAATGGCCCGTGAAGGTCGCCATGGCTAACTCTTGCTCAGATGGCCCTTCTGGTTGTGGGAGAAATTCTTCTTGACAAGGAGGTTGTTCTTGATATGCCTAGGGGTCTGATTGTTCTCCGTAGTAAGGGGGTTGGTACTGGAACCCGAATCAATAGTCTTATCCTCCTTGATTGCTCCAGGAAGTCTCGGGGTAATACCACTCGGATGGTGGTGGATACCCCCAATGGTTGGAGAAGCCATGAGGATCCATGATTCATATCTGCACCAACAATAAAAACAAAAACACCCAAGTGAAAAGCAAGGGTGTAAAAGTAAAGAAAAACGCTAAAGTAACAAACTTCTGCCTTTCCTAATAATCTAGAAAGTCCCTGGCAACGGCGCCAAAAACTTGACTCGCTAAAACACAACTCTTAATAATGACCAAGTGTAATAATTGAAAGAGACTACAATATAGTGGCTCAAGTAATAAATATCGAATCCACGGATTTCTAGAGTTACTATTACTCAGCTTCAGTTCATTATCTAGCAAACCATACTAAGATAGAACAACAAAGACTACTCTAGCAAACTACGGTTAAAGTTAATCTAATTACAGGTTGGGAACTCACTTAGGTATGATTCCCCCTAAATTGTAGTTAGGCCAAGTTTTAATTCACCCAATTCAATTCAACTGACATCTACACTGCAGAAAGTTCTCAAACAGTCTGAGTCTCAACTAAAGTTTTCCAGACCCTCTCAGATCGAAACCCTGGCGGGCGACTAACCTCCACCGGCGAAATCTAACCGAGGCACTATCACACAAAACTTCCTCTACTGGATTTCAACTCCAGTACATAGTAGTGAATCGACTTCTCGACTAAAGTCGCCGATTCACCACTTTCAATTCACGATGCTCTTTCAACCTATGCAGAGACTATCATTCTAGGTCAAAGCAGGAATCACAAGAATTTGATCAGGACTCAAGCAATTCTGAATAAAATCTCAACTGAATATAGAAGGTCAATCAATCATGAATTCGAGTTCATACAACTCTTCTTAGCATACAAATCTAGGGTTACTCAAAACCTAAGTGAAGGGAAGTTACTCCATAGAGAAGAGAGAGAATGCAGTATAACTTTTCAGATCTTCAATATTAACGTCTGGGCTTGTTCCTCGAGCTTCTAAGGCGAAGAAATCCTCCAAGATCGCCCTCGAATCACCCTCTCTCTCTATGGTTCGTCCCTTGGGTGTGTGGGATCCAAAACCCAACTCTCCCCTTCCCAAAACGCACAAAACAGTCTTTTAACTGACTGCGTTCGCGAAACCCGGTCCAAATACCCGGTTGGGTATTTAGGGAACCGGCCGGGTATCAACAAAGTGCACCAGGTATTTTTGGGTCGCGACCGCGGGGCCTTCTGATGCTGCCAAAAATATCCTATCAGATGGTCAAAATACCCGGTAGGTTATTTTTAACCTACTGGGCGGGTATTTTTCAATTCCGGGTCCCCTATCTTTGATTCTTCGTTTCTCCCTCGTTCGGACTCCAAATCAGGTGTCGTTTGATCCTAGACGCTCGTAGTCTCGTCCTATTTCTTCTCATTACAAGCTTACATGATTATATGGCCACAAACAGAGGTATAAATCCATTCTTCTTCAAGCCATACCCGAGTTTCTTCCTCCGAGTCGCCAATTGATCTTCAATTGATTTCACACTTGCGCCTATGCTTCACTTTATGTGCTAGGACCTGAAATGTGACAACGGAACACAACCTAGCCTAAAATAGGCCAAAGAAGCGATAATGCAAGCTTAAACGATCAATAATCAAAGGGGAAAACATGTGAAAATATCGAGTCATCAACCGCACCCACCAACTCCGTCACTGACCAGGTCCACCCACCATCCCCTGCAATGAAACGATCCCGCCAATCCTCCCACCGTGCCCAACTACTTGTCACTGACTAGAATCATGGCTAACCCACAAGCTTCACTATCCGACTTCCCCTCCTCCACAATCCTTGTTGCGTCCTTCACCATATCCGATATGGTGGCAAACTCCCTCCGTAGACTCATAAATTCAACGACGATTCAGCAATCCAAGCCGCACGAGGAAGAGCCGCCAAGAAATTTGTGTCAAAATCCGAATCCAGATCCTGAAAACGAGAAGAGAGAAGAGGGTAAAGATGGCATTGACGAGCTTGACCTGAACAAAGATACGTCGGCTAGATTGGTGGCCCCAACGCAGGCTCTTCTAGTTGCAGCTCCAGTTTTACCTCCGTCGTTGGGAGGGTCGCAGCCACCTCCAATGCCAGCGAGAGATTTGAAGTTAAATGAAGGTGGAAATCAGATGCGGTGTAAGATGGAATGTTTTCGGGAAGAAGAAGTTGAAGGGGAGCGGCGGACGAAACCAAGTTCCTAGAGGGGGAGAATAGATTTTTTTGGGGGATTCCCCCCCCCCCCCCCCCCCCCCCCCCCCCCCCTCTTTGGTTAGTCCTTTAGGTTGAGTACATGTAGAAACTAATATAAAAAACTAGTTTATTCTCCAAAATTAGTTCCATAATTTTTTTAATATGACGTGGTATATAGATGGCATGATTTGTCGTTTAGGTGGCATCCATGTCAGCTTCGTGTCCATAATATTGACGGTGTTATTGACGTCGTTAAAGTTTTTAACGAAAATGGATAAATTTGTCAAACAAGTTTTTAAAATGTGGCTACATCTGTGTATTTATAAAAATAAAAGTGGCTATTATTGTCACAACGTAAATAGTTATAGCCATGGAAGTGTATTTTGAAAAAAAAAAAAAAAAAAAAAGGGATTTTTCATTCCAATGCATGGCGCCTCTTCTTCTTCCTTCCAACCCTTGAATCTCTCCAACTCCCTATTTAGTAGACTTCTCAAATGAATTCACATCCACCCAGCGTCTTATCGAGTGAAGAGAGAGATGCCACTGGAGGAGTGAAACCACATGAGGAAAGGAAAATTGACAATGAAATCACAACATTGCAAAGTACACAACGATAGATCGGAAGTCGACATTCAGCAAGGTTGTTGACAACTTCGACGCTTTGGGTTACCGCCATTATTGGGATCTCCTCACCATCGTCTAATTCCTATGTTCGTGCTCTGTTTCACCGGTGGCCATCAGCTGAACCCACAACAGATTCAACAACTCTAGCATATGCAGCAACTGCAGTAGATGAGGGGGTTACAAGATCTCTCAATTGAAAACTTGGAAATGCCGCAACCGAATTAAGATCTAAAACTTCCCCAATTACAAGATTTGGAACTTCCTCAATGGGAAACGACCACCCTGGTATGATTATGAATGCCGCCAAAGGTGGAATACTTCTGCTTCATCTAGCTGCAGTTGCCGCCGCCGCAAAGAAAGGTGCCAACGGAGGCAGGCCGGTTCACATTTATTTCAACAACGATGGTGGTGGCGGTGGAGGAGGAGGAAATCCGAGCCACAATCAGAATCAAAGGAGCTCTCAAATTTTCAGATCCGGTTCCAGGGCCGCCAGTTCCCTTTTCTCCTTTGCTTCCAAGAACTCTCTCTTTGACTCCCGTTGGTTTCCTCATTTTGCTCCACTCCAATCTGTCTGTGCTTACAATTGAACTGGATTTTTGCGGATGAATTCGTCGTAGACCAGCCTCGTTTATTTTCTCTTGTTGTCGTTCAGATTCTCTATTGTAATTTTTCAATTCTTGACGACGATTGAGACTTTTCATGGATGTAGATGGGCTAGCCGTAGCGATAGATTTAGAAATCAAATGGAAGTTGGGGAAGACTATGGATTTTACCTTGCTGTATAATTGCTTCTAGGCTAGATGGTGGAAATTTTGATTTTGAAAGGAAGGGGAAGAGATCCGAGAATACCATGATGGTATAGTGATTGGATTTAGGACCAAATAACAACTTCCCCAAAAGCGTTAACGACCACAAATTTGGTCGAGAAACCGACACAGATCTACACTCCTATGTTCCACCCTCGACACCAGATTTCTTTTTGTAGCTTCCTGGTTCCTGGTGGTAGGTGGATTCATTTTCGGATTCACGTAGTCCCCCTTCCTCTCCCACCGCACACTTGGTTCAAGTTCATTGCCAGGATCCCGAGTCGTCGCCGCCGCCGGAGGCTTCTCCGCTATTGTCACCTTGGCCAGAATCCCTATTTTGTCAGATAATCAAGGGACTAAGGGAGACTAAGAGGGAAGAGGAGGGAGTACTAGGGTCGAGGTGGTGGTTCCATTCCCGATGGAGTCGCGTTGGAGAACACAAGGCGACGAATGAAAGAAAATTTGGCAATTTAATAAAGTGATAAATAAATAAACTAATAAAGGAAAAGAATATAGGCGGATGCGTATAAGCATTTTCCAAATCAGAGTGAACGAACCGTTAACTAGAAGGAAAGCTGATGGTTTGACTATTAAATTGTTTTCGAGAAGGTTTGGCTATTATTTTGTTCGAAATGAAAAGGATTAGCTATTATATTGTATTTACCATAATGAGAAATATATCCAAGATTGAAATTTTGTGTGACAATTATAGCCATTTCGTTAAAAATATGAGATATCGTAAGAATCATTAACGACAAGGTGATGTGGAGGCCACGACAGTTGCAAATCACCACGTTATGCCACCTTTCATCCACGCCATATTTGAAATACATTTAGATACCCAAAACTTTGATGCTAAAACAAATATAGCCATTTTTTTATGAATGGTGCGGGCTTTTCATTTCATCAAAAATGGGCAAACAACTTTGCTGGAAACAAGCTCTGCCAACTGAGCCAAGGACCTATTAACAAGGTATTCACAATAATAACGAACAATCAAGCAAACATACTGCCAAAGAGACTAGAAAAATCGATCAAGAAGTGCATGGTCCAGAAACAGCCGCAAGTCCCCCTTTATCGAATGAATCAGCTCCTCCATGTCAAACACTTTTCCTCCAAACTTTATCCTGCATCTCTCCCTCCATATAGCAGCAATCAGATTATGCCAAATCACTTTACCCACCTGAGCAACTTCATTTTTCTTTCGAAAGTGTTGGGATGCCCACTGAAGTTCAGACAGCCACTGATTCCCAGGAGATCGAGTAGTATACTTTGCAAACAGAGTTGTAAAAAGCTGCTTGTAAACATGACACTCTACAAACATATGAGGTCTTGTTTCCAGGGAAGCACTACAAAAAACACAGCAGTGACTTCCTGTAGTTTCCCACCCTTGTGCTTTGTCCCCTGTCATAATGTAATCATTGACTATGAGCCACACCAGAAACTGATTTCTGGGAATACAAGATCCCTTCCAAACCAGAGAGTACCAAGAGACAGTATTGCTTTTAGGCCTGAGCTCCTCCCAGACTTTCTTTATTCAAAAATTTTCCATAAGATCTCCTTTCCAATATACCCCATTAGCCCCAACCGACAAATAGCAACGCATCCGATCTCTGCATTTTAACAATTTTAACCACAACCAGGACCCTGCATTAGAAGTGACAGTCCAAAAATCACACCTCTTGATTCTATACTCCCAAACCCAGGCTACCCACAATGACCCCTGTTTCAACAGTATAGCCCAGATATGCCTTGTTACGCAAGCTAGATTCCATGATGCCATGTCTCTGAACCCTAGACCACCTTCCTTCTTAGGATAGGTAACCCTTGGCCAAGCAACCACAGCCCTTTTCCTAGAACCATCCCCCACACCCCATAAAAAGTCACTGCACAGCTTCTCTATTGCTCTGATAACTACTGTAGGGAGGATAAAAATTGACATCCAGAATTGTGTTAGGCTATATGAAACTGACATGACCAATTGAAACTTCCCTGCATAAGACAAAGCCTTAGCTTTCCAGCTAGAAATTCGCCCTGTAACCCTGTCAATCAGAGGAGTACAAGCTTTAATGGTGAGTTTCCCTGCCAGCAAAGGGAGACCTAAATATCGAACTGGAAGCACCCCCAGCTTATACCCTGAGAAATTAGCCATTGCCTCCTGCCACTCCACACTAATTCCACCACAATATAACTCACATTTTGCTGGTATTGATTTGAGACCTGACATACTCCCGAACTCAGCTGAAACTTTCTTAATACACTGGATCCCAAGGTTAGATCCATCAGAGAATAACAATAGATCATCAGCAAACATAAGGTGGGTTAACCTCAGTCTCTTACACATGGGGTGAAAAGGCATTTCATTCTTCTTAACCGCTTCATTCATTAAACAAGACAGAATTTCCATAGCCACTGCAAACAGGTAGGGGGAGAGGGGATCTCCCTGCCTCAGCCCCTTCCTAGCAGAGAAATAGCCCACTGAACCCCCATTAAACCCAATGCTCAGCTTAGGTGTGGGTACACACATTCTCAACCAATGCAAGAACCTATCAGGAATCCCCATTGCTTGCAAAGTATTAAAGAGGAAACCCCAATCAACAGAATCAAAGGCCTTCATTAGATCAACCTTCACTAAGGACCTAGGGGATATATTCTTTCTACCATATTTCTGTACCAGTTCATGTGCAAGTAGAATATTCTCCCCTATTACCCTACCTTTTACAAAAGCAGTTTGAGATTCACTAATTATGCAGGGCATAACAGAGCTAAGTCTTACAGCAAGTATTTTGGCCATACATTTATACAGAATATTACAACATGAGATAGGCCTAAAAAATTTCATCTCTTCTGGGGACTGAACCTTAGGGATTAGAGCTAAGAGGGTTGAATTAACACTTATAGTTATATCAGGAACTCTGAAACAGTAAAGAATGGCAGATGTTACCTCCTCACCAATGATACTCCAAGCTGCTTTAAAGAAGCAAGCGGGGAAACCATCTGGCCCAGGGGCCTTCTCCCCATCAAATCCAAACAGGGTAGTCCTGACTTCATCAGCTGTAAGGAAAGCATAACTCCTCACTCTGCTCGGGTAATAATTTTTTGATCAGAGTTTTCTTGATTTGGTCAACTTCTGGAGTAACTTCAGTATCACGTTCCCCCAATAGTTTCCTATAGAATCTCTCTGCTATCCCAGCCATACCATCTGTATCAGTTACCCTCTGACCATCTTCATCAATTAAGGATCTTATCATATTCCGCTTTTGTCGACTCTTGACTGAGTTATGGAAGTAAGGAGTATTCGAATCTCCCTCTTTGAGCCATAGTTCCCTAGATTTATGGTGAAAAAAAGACTCTTCAGACTCTCTTAACACTCTAGCCTCTTTAGCAAGTCTAATCTCCTCACCAAAAGAGTTAGGTGAAGGGTGTTTTAAAGCCTCTGCCTGTGCAATCAACAGTTCAGACTCCTTCAATCGAGCCCTTTCACTAAGGTCAGAATATTCATCCTTATTCAATTTCTTAGGCAGTCCCTTAAGAATTTTCAGCTTTTTGCAAACACGGACTAAAGGCGATCATCTACATGCACCAGCCATGCTTCCTTTACTAAGTCCATAAATCGAGGGTGCTTGATCCAGAACTTAAAGAATTTGAAAAGTTTTGGCAAAGATTTAATTGAACTATCAGAGTTTAACATAATTGGGCAATGATCCGACACTGAGGGATCCAACAGATCAACAGTACTAGAAGATAAGCCCTCAAACCACTTAGTATTCACAAAAACCCGATCCAATCTCCTCGCTATTGGATTTCCCATCTGCTTATTAATCCATGTAAACCAGGGTCCAGATGACTTATGTTCTTCTAACTCACAGTCATATTACCATTTCCTAAAATCAGTCATACTACTTGTGAGTTGAGGCATATTTGAAGCCTCACTAACATCCCCAATGGCATTAAAGTCTCCCAGCACTGCCCAAGGGGCAGATCGAACTTGAAATCTAACCAAATCACTATAAAGAACTCTCCTGTCCACTTCATCATTTGATGCATAGACCAAAGAAAGGAAAAAAAGGAGTACCTGAAACCACCAACACAAGGATGAACTGATCAGTCGTATGGAGAACTGTAAGCTTGATATCTGACTTCCAGAGCAGCCATAGCTTGCCCAGCCCACTAGAGTTGTTTGCCACTTTTGACTCCCTACCAGGAAACCTCACATTAATCAACTCATCTGCTTTATTTGCTCTCACCCTAGGCTCAAGTATAACTAATATGTTTATACTATGTATATTAAGTAGCTTTCTAATAGCTTTATTCTTAACCGGGTCATTAAACCCCCGGATGTTCCAAGTAAGGATTTTCATTGCTTCTTCCCAGCTCTGCCCCCTTTATGAGGGCCAACCTGTTCAACTCTTGGTGTGGCAGGTTTCCTCTTAGAACTTCCAACTGTGATCCACGGGTTTGACTCCTTAGCTGCTGCAGTCATCTGAGGGGATACCCTCCCATCAACTGGTGAAGTAACCCCAGCAGAAAATTGTTTAGATTGGTCAGAACTCCCAGCCAGAGCTGATGATCTCAAGACAACCTCAACAAAACTAGCAACAACACCCCCATTAAGCAGAGGAGTGGAAGCAGCGCGCCCATTAAGATCCCGAACAACAGCCTCCTTCTCTTTAGACATTTCAGCCACAACTTCACTAGCCACAACATCCTCTGAAACCTCTTCGACCTGAGCAACAGTCCTATCCACTAAGGCACTCTGCACATTCTCAACATCCCCCAACTCAACACTTGTGTCCTTAGCCTGAGCTTGCTTAGCAGTCCCCTTAACAACCCACTTCTTAGTGCTGTTGGCCAAAGTTGTGCAGTCATGACCATATACTTGACAATGAGGGCACACCCTAGGCAAGTTCAGATACTCAATTTTCACATCAAAGAAGGGATCATCATCAGGATAGAGACAAACCTTCGAGGGAAACCCACATTCTGCCGATAGATCAACACACACCTTCGCAAATCCCAATTTCCCTCCAACCCTAGTTGTTTTATCCATCCAGAGAGGAGGTCCAACAGTACTCGCTATCCACTCCAATCCCTCAATTGAATGATATTCCAGTGGGATCCCCCATATTGACACCCAGATAGGTAGAGTTTCAACCAATGGAGTCACTGGTTGAATTCCTGGAGTCCATTTCCTGAGGTAGAGTTGATTTCCTTGGAAGTGCCACGGCCCTGAGCGGAGCACCCACTTACTTGTGGAGGAAGAAGGCAATTGAAACACATACATCCGATCTCCGAATCGAGAGACTCGCACAACACCATCTCTCCCCCAAATTGCAGTAGCCCAGGATTGAAGCTGAGCAACCTTAGGCTGAGCACCAACAAATTGCCCGATGAGGCAATCGCGCCAGCGCTCTTCGTCCTTCTTCTTCACCTCTCGGGGAAGTCGGAACCCATCATTGACCCGCTCCGGAGATCGAAACTGCATCCTGTTCTCCCGAGGGACATCGATAAGCTGAGCCTAAGTATTGACCCCCGATCCTTTGCCCGTCGTCGGAGCAAATTCCGACGACGAGGCCGCCATCGCAACTACGAAGCGAAACCCTAGAGAGAAGAGAGGAGAGAGGAGAAATAATGTGGTGATTATAGCCATTTTGTTTGCATAATGACAAATATAATTTTTTTTATTGTTCGATTTCTCTGCTTGGTTTATTGTCAATTCAATTGCATACGTAAATAAGATGATTATCTTCAAAGGATGTATTCCTCAAATCCAATTTTATGGATGGATGTGACTGGGCACGACATTCCTTCATAATTGATCATCAATCTGTTGAACTGTATCAATTTCCTCAAGGGAGAAATCTATACGGTTACAACCATAGCAAATTAGTCAGGGTATTAGCCATAACATATGGTCGGATTAAGCCATGCATGAATCGAACATCTCATATGCCAATATCAATCTTGCGGTTCTTGGTTATACACATTTCCACTTTCTTTGAGTTCGCCTCATTATGGTTATTGTAGAGTTTGATCGTCTATATCATGATGACATACCTTTGCTTCAAACACAATACACGTATGGAAGCACCCTCATTGCTTAATATGACATATGCAATATGAGTGTTGACTTTCCCATGTGCCTCACTAAGCATGGAACCCGCGATCATTATTGTGAGGAGAAGGAAACAATATAAGATCATAGTGAGTGGAGACATACATTGTGAATTCTTCCATCACGAATGTATATACACTATATCGTAACTCATGGTTTGTCTAACTTAAGTTCACTAAACAAAAGAAATACCGGGAGATAGCCCAGATTTGTTTTCTTTTTGTATGTGTAACTTTGAGAAAGGGTTTATTATGAATAAAGTTGGTTGGAACTAGATCGTGGGGCGAGCCTCATCTTCAATTTCATATAAATGAATAAGGTTAGTCAACCATTCGTAACTTCTCATTCTTCAAGAATGCATGATTTGCACCCACACAAGAGATAATCACCAGCCTCATTAGTTCTACATATGAATTTATGGTCTCACATCATCACTACGTTGCTAATCTTTGATAATCTAACAATATGATAATCTCGGGAATAGTTGTGAAAATTTTGTTTAGTGTTAACATATTGTATCCAAACAGTTGAGCAGTGTCCATAAGCTACAATTTCAACTTATAAAGATGGGGGAAATGAAAGAAGAAGGAAAAAGAGTTTAAATCATAATACAAAAAGGAAAAGGAGAAAGAGAAAGAGATAACACGCATATAAATGAAATCACCAAAATCTTCTTTACTCTCTTTCTCTAGTATTTACTTCTTTTCTTTCTTTACACTACCATTTACCAAACATGCCAAAGTGTCAGCAGTTTTACTAAACATGAGCAAGTTGGTTAAACATGGGAAAAAATCCCAAAATACACTAGTAACTAAAAAAAATTCCCAAAATACATAAGTTATAAGAAAATTTCCCAATCTACACATGTTTCACATTGACCGCCTTAGTCTAAGGCAGTGAATGCAATCACTGCTTTTGATAACACGGTGATCGATTCACCGCAGCAGAGAACAACGGTGAAGACTTCACCGCAGCAAAGAAAAACGGTGAAAGTGCGGGGAACCAATCACCGCGTTTAATTAAAACGGTGAAGTATTCACCATTTTAATTAAAAGCGGTGATTAGTTCCCCACATCGTACGGCTACTATGAAAGCGACGCGGATCGATGACGTGGACAAACACCGGATATTCACCATGTTTGACAAACACGATGAATATCCCGCGTTTGTCCACGTCAGCGATCCGCGTCGCGCGGGTGCTTCACCGCTGCCGTTGGATGCAGTGAGGTGCGAATTTTGGTTTTCCTCCTAGATCTGACGCCTCACAGCCTCCCACGTCAGCGATCTTCGCTGTTCACCGCATTCGAAAAAGGCGGGTCATTCACTGCCTTCATCAAACGCGGTGATGGCGTTGCATGGATTTTCGGCAATTCCCTTCCCCTATAAATAGAACCCTTCCCCCTCTTCCAAATCACACCACCACATTACACTTCTTTCTCCCTCCATTCATCCACTCTAGTCTCGTTCTAAGTATGCTCTGTGGTTGCGGCTAAGTTCGATCTTCCACATCAGAAAGAATTACTAGAGTTATACCCTAAAGCCCGTCCGTCCCTTAAAAATCCGTCAAACCTCTGTCCGGCTTCGCCAAAAAATGGATGAAGAGGCTCTTCGGGTAGGTTCTTGGTTTTTCTTTTGTGATTTTTTTAATCAAAACAATTTGATTTTGTGATTTTTTTAATCAAAACAATCTGATTTCATTACTTTTTTATAGATGGGTGCCGAGATATACGATCCTCGATTGTATATCCATTATGGGCCAAGAGATACGAAGTATTTATCCAATCAAGAAGCACATCGCTCCCGTGCAATTTGGGACAACAATCCAGTAAACACTACGTACCTTATCAACAATTTACTTTATTTAATTATTTAGTAAGATTTTATTTTGCTTTCTTTTAACTAAAAAATCGATTTTATTTCAATTTTTTTTGTAGGAATCACTTATTCTCGTCATTCATAAAGGGACCACTAACTTGCCCGCTTGGCATGATAGACTGTCGCCGTATATAGGGAGGACTGGGTTGGGTATGTTGAGGCATTTCATGCGGATTGAAATCGACAACGATCTGCTTACGACAATGGCAGAACGATGGCGCCCCGAAACCCATACGTTCCACCTTCCGGAGGGGGAAATGACAATCACCCTCAAAGATGTCGCGATCCTCACTGCGCTGCCGATAACTAGAGATGCCATCATTGGTGTCACGGGGAAACCCGATGCAGGTTGGGGCCGCTCATTCGTGATCATTTGGGCTTTGACATGCCGACCACCACATACAACCCTCTGCAGCATTCTTCCATATGACATGTACTTGTTTACTGTCAGAATATTTTACCTTCCACTCGAAATTGCGCCGCATGGCATCTTCAGTAAAAGCATGTTGCACAGCATCCTTCGATGTGAACGTCATACCCACCTCCAAATTGGCCATCGGATTACACTGGCATAGGGACAACGTCTATGGCATCATTCTGACTATGTAAAAATTGAGTTTGAACCTGTGTGTAGTATGGCGTTGGTGGCTCACGAAATGCCACCTCGTCGTTGGTATCGTTAGTTTCTTCCTCCTCGCTCACTGATCTCAAATCTTCCTCAGTATCATCATCGCTTGAGTGGAAGGATAGCTCAGGCGAGAAGGATCAACATGACCACCATCACCAACATCGTCTTATCGCTCATGTGAAGTACGCCCAGATCGAACGGTATTCTCGATTTCAGGCCATTCTAGCCCCCAAGACGGCATTGAACCTCACCGGACTCAACAAATGGGGCAGGTTCATCTCGTTGCGGGTATTCTTCCGATGGCACCCATCATGCACCACTACCTCCTCCGTAGTTGGTTGAACTACCACCCGATCCGTAACCTCTTGTATAACCACCTCCTTCGTAGTTGCTTGAACTACCACCCCTTACGTACCCTCCTGCAAAACCATCATCATAAGAATACTGGTGAGAATGAGTTTCACCGACCGCCTCGGTCTCAACATAGACCTCTGCAAGCCGCAACCCGTTATCGCCTAGGAACTGTAACATCATCGTAACCGCGTCATCATCGTTTATGACAACTTCTTGGTATACAACCCCGCTAGCATTCATGTCTAGATACCGGTAAGTAATTTTACCAACTCTCGTCTGTCCGCTCGTACAAACCCTGTCTTCGCAAATGTCATAGAGTTCTTGCCACGTGAATCGCACTCAATTTTCAACATAGTGGATTCACCGTCCTCATAATCAATCCCAATGTCAGAGTTTGTCACCCTTCCATTCCACCGAATAATAAGATGGAACTTCTTGAATTTACCCATATCTACAATTTACAATAAGTAACTATTAGCTTAATTCCAATAAAATTTACCATAAACATACTGTACGACTAATGTTACTCCATCTCATAACTAACATAACATAAATTCAACTAACTAACAACAACATAAAATTCCCAACTAACATAACATATTTGCTACTATAAGTAATTCATTACATACATATAAATACTAAAAACATCATTATATAAACAATACAAAATTAATCATACCGAAAAATTGCTTCTGTGTATGTAGCTGGTTTCTTTTTTTTTTTGCTGAAATTTGAAGAGGGAGGGGGCGAGTGTTTTTCCAACTGCTCGTGGGAGGGATATTTATATGAAAACCAGGGAGCATTCACCGCCTTTCTCCACAGTGGTGAAGGTCATCACCGCGTTGCCCTAAGGCGGTGAACATTAGGTGGTTGTGACCTAATTTTCACCTACCAGGGGTGGGAAACGTGGGAAAGTCACCGCCGTAGCCTAGAGCGGTGAAGGTATTGCCCGCTTTGCACGAAAACGGTGATTGCTTCACCGTTTAAGTCAAACGCGGTGATTAAGTCACCGCTATATACAAACACGGTGATTTATTCACCATTATTGTTGAACGCGGTGATTTATTCACCGTTTTTGTCTAATGCGGTGATTGCATTCACTGCCTTAGACAAAGGCGGTGAATGTGATTATGTGAAACATCTGTAGATTGTGAATTTTTTTTATAACTTATGTATTTTGAGAATTTTTTTAATTACTAGTGTATATTGAGATTTTGTCCTTAAACATGTGATACAACATCAAATAATTCATGTAAAAGGGTTTTGTGAGAAGCAAAATCGTGATCATCAGTTTAGAAGTCCCTCATAGCAAAACAACTATATACGTATTTACATTCAGATACATGATATATGGATCAATTACGGCTATCTAAAAGATCAACGGTTTAAGTGAGAAACAAAAAAATAAAATTTTAATTGGAGCGGGCGGGGAAATAGGCCATAAGAGACGTTCGTAATAAATGATGTGATTTTACTCCAATTTACATGTTGAATAATCACGAAGATGACGATGTTAAATGATTTCTTTGAACCGTAACAATATTTCTCTCCATATAGAGACTATTAGGCATCAAGATACTATTTTTCTTCTTCTCTTTTTTTTTTCTTTTTGGGAAGAATCTTCTTATTTTTCTTTATATTTAGTTAGCTAGAGGTAGCTTTTACTTAGGAAAATAATAAGTTTTACCATAAACGGATGGCCCTCTAGTGGAAGCAGTACTACATAGCAATCAGGATCCAATGGGCTGGCTGGCTGGGGGCTAATAATATTATGAATGTCGGTTGGGCCTGCCTCCCTCTCTCCGATCCATTACACGTCAATGTCGAACGTAGTCTCTCAGGTAAATGCCAAACCTAGAATCCGCCATTCACGTGGCGTGGGAGCTACTGCAGCAGAGGAGAACTATCTATTACCTATTCATCTAAAAATACGTCGAGAAATTTGAAGAAAGATGAAAGGGGATCAGATCACACAGCCAATCGCTAGAGGACGCACATATCGCTCTCGTATGTGAGTTGTCAAAGTCTCTCGGAACAACAATATAATCTAGCCAGTTTGGAGGGAGCTGCAGCAGATATTCTACGTGATCAAATATCTGGATTCGTATGAGAGATATATAGATATTGTTTTGTTAATGTGTGAGAATTAACTTATCACAACAACTCAAATTATCGAGAGAAATCTATACTAGGAACCGATTCATTTTTGGTAATGATTCATCTTATGGATTTCTCTTAATAACTGAAACTATAAAAGTAAAATAGTTTTTCTTAGGCTAAATTACACGTTTGGTCACTTGAATTATACATATTTTTCACGTTTGCCACTCAAATTACTTTTTTTCTTATTCGCCACTAACTTTATGAATCATTTCACCGTTAGCACCGAAGATTTACCAAGGAAGGAATCGGCGGATGCTGAGATTCAGGTGCCTCTGGATGACGGGCGCCCTGAACGGTGTGTACGCATCTCCGCCCATACAAGCGGTGAAGCGGTCGAGTCGTTAGTGGGATTGTTGAAGGAGTTCGCGGATCTTTTTGCTTGGAGCGCTCGGGAGATGCTAGGAGTAATCCGGAAGTTGCGGTGCATCGCTTGTCAGTAGAAAAGGGTGTGCGCCCGGTGTAGCAGAAAAGAAGGCCTTTGTCGGAGGAGAAAGAGGAGGCGTTGCGCAAGGAGGTGGGAAAGTTACTCGAGGTCGGATTTGTGGAGGAGGCGAAGTATACGACGTGGTTGTCCAACGTGGTGTTGGTTTCCAAGGCGTTGGGCGACTGAAGGATGTGCGTCGATTACACAAGCATGAATCGGGCGTGCCCGTCGGACGCAAATCTGATGCCTCGCATCGACCAGCTGGTGGATGCGATAGCCTACCACGAGACGTTGAGCTTCTTGGACATGTTTTTCGGCTATCATCATATTCTCATGTGCGAAGAGGACCGGGAGAAAACCGCATTCATGACCCCCTTCGGTAACTTCCGCTACAAGGTCATGTCCTTCGGGTTAAAGAATGTGGGCGCAACCTACCAGCGGATGGTAAACACTGTGTTCCAAGGGCAGATCGGGAGGAACGTGGAGGCGTATGTGGATGATCTAGTGCTCAAAAGCAAGAGAAGAGAGGAGCACCTGAGGGACCTGCGCGAAACTTTCGAGACAATGCGTGCCCATTCCCTCCGTCTTAACCCGCTCAAGTGCCTTTTCGGCGCGGAGGCCGGCAAATTCTTAGGCTTCATGATAACAAAGAGGGGGATTGAAGCCAACCCGAAGCAAGTGGAGGCAATTAGGCGCCTCGAGCCTCCGAGAACGCCAAAGGAAGTGCAAAGTTTAAACGGGCGCCTGACAGCATTAGGGCGGTTCATCCCACGATCATCCGACAAGGACGCTCCCTTCTTCCGGGTTCTGAAGAGGGCCGATGAGGCGTTCGAGCAGTTGAAGAGCCTCTTAGTGGCGCCACTGTTATGACGGCGCCCCGGGCAGCTGAAGTGCTATACCTATACATTGCAGTGTCGCGTACGGCGGTTAGTGCGGTGCTCATTTCGAGGGCGATGGTAGATTGAGAAGAGCGCCACTTGTACTACGTGAGCAAAGTGATGACAGGTCCTGAGACGCGCTATGCACCCATTGAAAAGGCAGCCTTAGTTGTAGTCGCGACGGCAGAGAAACTGCGCCCATATTTCCAGGCGCATATTGTAGGCTCACGAACCTGCCATTGAAAAGCACGCTGGGGTCCATGGATGTGGCAGGGCGCATGGTGAAGTGGGCAGTGCAACTAAGCGATTACGACATCAAGTACGCGCCCCGTCCGGCGATCAAGGCGCAAGTATTGGCCGATTTCGCAGCGGAAGGAGTTGTTAATAGGGGAGAAGGGATGAATGAAAGTTGCAGGTCTACGTCGATGGGACCGCCAGCTGAGTTGGCGCAGGGGCGAGGATAGTGGTCATCAATCCCATGGGCGCCATGCATGAGGTGGCTCTCCGATTCTCGTCGTTGAAAACTAACAACGCGGCGGAGTACGAGGTTGTGATAGCGGGTTTGAATGCGGCGCAAGAGCTGGGGGCGCTCTGACTCGGCCTTGGTAATAAACTAGCTGAACGGTGTGTTCGAAGTGAACGAGGAGGCTTTGGGCACGCACCTGAGAAGGATTGAGGGGATGCGTCCCTGGTTTGAACAGGTGGAGTTCGTGCACGTCCCAAGGGAAGAAAATGCCCACGCGGACGCGCTGTCTAAGCTGGCCACCGCTACCGATTTCGAGAAGGAAAGGCACGTGATCGTCTCAAAGGAGCACTCCTCGAAAGAGTCAATGGTGGGGGGTGATCGGAGAGCAGGATAGTGAGGAGGAAGGATGGATGACCGGGATTAAGGCATATTTGCTCCATGGAACGGTCCCTGAAGACGCAAGGCAAGGTTGGCAAGTGAGACGCAAAGCTGCCCATTGCACGATTCTAGAGGGCCAGATGTACAAGAGGTCACACTCGGGGGGCCAACCTGAAGTGTCTCACGGAAGTAGAAGGAGAAAGAGCGATAGCGGAGGTGTACCAAGGCGCCTGCGACATGCACTCGGGAGCGAGAAGTCTCGAGAAGGTGTTGTTGCGTCAAGGTTACTACTGGCCCTCTATCAGAAAGGACGCCAAGAAGCATGTGGACAACTGCCCCCAATGTAAAATCCATGCCCATGACGTGCATGTCCCGCAAGCGCCTATGCAAGGCAACGTAGGCGCATGGTCATTCTCGCAGTGGGGGATGGATCTACTAGGGCCCTTCCCTAAGGCGCCCGGGCAGATGAAATACCTAATCGTGGCGGTGGACTATTTCTCAAAGGGGGTGGAGGCAGAATCCTTGGAAACCATCACTCAGGCTCAAGTCAGGAAGTTTACGACCAGGAACATCTTCTCTCGGTTCGGGCTGCCTGAATCAATCGTAGCTGACCATGGTAAGCAGTTCGATTGCCGCCAATTCGTCGAGTTCTGTGATGAAAGTGGCGTTGTCTTGCGCTTCTCTTCTGTGGCGTATCCCCAAGCCAATGGGCAGGCGGAGGCGGTTAACAAGAGCATCCTGCATGGACTCCATACGGGTTGCTAGAAGCCATGGGGAGATGGGTTGAAGAGCTCCCAGGCGTGCTTTGGGCGCATAGGACAACACACAAGGTGGCGATAGGGGAGACGCTGTTTGCATTGACTTATGGTAGCGAGGCGGTTATCCCGGTGGAAGTGCGCTTTCCCACGTATCGGGTGGCAGGGTATGAGGAGTCGACCAATGGTGAAGAGCGCGTACATGACCTTGACATGCTGGATGAGCGCCGAGACATTGCCTCCGTGCACCTCGAGGCCATGAAACAACAGGTGGCCAAATACTATAATCGTAAGATGCGTCCCCATCAGATACGCCTGGTGAGGGAAAGCTCGTGTGAGGGAAAGCTCGCTCCCAAGTGGAAGGGACCGTATCGTGTCTGGGAAGTGATAGGGCCGGCCACGCTCAAATTGGAGCGCATTGAGGGGAAGGCCATCAAGCGAACATGGAACGCGCAAAACCTCAAGCTGTACCACGGGAACGAGGCAGGGGAGGTCTCGGAGTAACATGTCAATAGCACAGAGAAGGGCGCCCACATTTTGGGCAGTATTCGAGAGTAGGTTGATTAGGTGTAAGGGGAATTACTATTACGGCAAGCGGCCACCCCACGCGCAGTAAAATCATGACTGTAAAGCGCCCTCCTTTTGCGCCATAGGAATATGACAACATTCACTGTAAAACGCCCTACTTTTGCGCCTTAATATTATGGCAACGTTCACGGTAAAGCGCCCTACTTTTGCGCCTTAAGATTGTGTCAGCGGTTATTACAAAGCGCCCCGCACTGCGCGCCCTCATGGTTGGTTTCAGAAAGCGCCCTACTTTTTGCGCTCTGATGTTTTCGTTGAGCAATGTTTTATTCGTGCCCAAGTACCAAAACCTAATGTGCCCTTCGTAAAGCGCCCTCCCAGACACGCCCTTATGAATAACTCGAGTGAAGTTCAAATTTCTGCCTAACTCCTGAAAAGCAATGTGCACTAGTGTTGGGTTGGGTAAGCGCCCTACGTACCGTCGCCCCGGAATTCGATAAGATAAAGCGCCCTATGTACACGCACCCGCAAGTAAGATACGTATAAAGCAGGTGGCATAAAGCAGTTCGACAAATTCATTAAACTGAGAGTTCACCAAGTTACAACGACTGGAATTGAAAATAAAAAGGAGGTAATAAACAGACGGGCAAGGAGGGCGCCCATTTACTCTTCCTCACTCCGAACCGCACCCTCGGGCGTCCCCTGTGGCTTGGCGGAGCACCTTTCCTCATCGTCTTGCCCCTCGCCTTCTTCCTCCTCGTTCCCCGCAGGCTCGTCATCCTCCGCGCCTTCCTCCGCGCCTTCAGCTTCCTCCTCATCTGCCTCTCCTTCGTCCCTGTCCTGATCATGCGCCTCATCGGTAGCTGGTGGTGGGACGTCTAGCCCCACAATGGGCTCCAGCTCGCTAGCCTTGCGGCCTGTCCATGAAATTGAGTATGTGCATGATCAGGGCAAAAGAGTCCCACTCCATCTCAGGGTGATCCTTGCTGAACTTCTCTTATAAGATCTTCACCGTGTCAATCATGGTATCCGCCTGTAGGTTCTTCCCCACCTACGACTTGTGGTATCCAGCCAGGTCCTTCTTAAGGCGCTTTGCCTCAGCCAGGGACGCCTTCAGCTCCTTTCTATACTGCTCTTTGGCCTTCGTCGCCCACTACAACTCCTCTGAAAACCTGCGCGCCTCGCCGTGGAACTGCTCCGCACCCGCGTGATACTTGTCGCGCTCCCCCATCAACTCTACCTGCCTTTCGCGTAGGCTATGCTCCACCTCCGCCGTCTCCGCTTAGGTAGCGGCGGCTTGCGCTTCATAGCGCTCCTTGCACGCCTTCTCGACAGGACTCTTTTATCTTCTTGCGCTCCGCCTCGATATCGGTTGATAGTTTGGCCGCCCAAGCCTGGGCCTCCTTCTGCGCATCGTCCCGGGCGTTGGCCAATGTCTCATGCGTCTCACTGGCAGCGGCCAGCTCATTCTGGAGGCGCTCCGCGTTGCCCTCAGCTGCCAAACTCTCCTTGGCCATTCGATCGAATTCACGCGCGGTGGATTCGATCAACATCATCATCTGGTACACGCATAGGGTAACAAAGGCTCCGTCAGACTTAGAAACTTGGAGAAAGGCTCAGTTAGAAACCTAAAAAGTTGAAGAGAGGGGCACTTTACCTGAACGGAGAGGTTGGCCATGGTGCGAAGGGGCTAGTTGGAGTTGAGGTGATCGGGCCGCTCGATCACCGCAACATGGGATAGCACCATCTGCATTGAGGCGCCCGGATCCTTCGTCGCCTTGACGGGCACGCCTACAGCGACCTTCTCTAGTGGTCGGGCGGGAGGCTGAAGATAGGGGGGCAATGTTTTCCCTGTGTGCTCCCCCACACGTGGTCCAGCTTGGCCTTTTTTGCGGCCGAAAGGAGCTGTTCAACAGGCCTTTTCTCAGGTGCTTTGGACTGGGAGGCTCGATTAGGCGTCTGAGAGGTGGCGCCCTGTCTGCGAGGCGAGAGAGAGGCGCCTCGACTTTGGGGGTGCGAGAGGCGCCCTGGCTCCGGTGCAAGGGGGAGGCACCTTGCTCATCGCCAAGGTGGAGGGGGGAGTTGTATGACGGCTGGGGCGGTTTAATGGCACCAAGAGAAGGCGCACGGCTCGCCAGCACAGCAGGCGAGGATAAAATCCTCACGCGCACAGGTTTTTTGCGCGGAGGCTGGGACGAGGTAGCGGGGGCCTTACTGGTCTTGCCGCGCGCGTGAGGCGCAGGAGGGATGAGGTGGAGCTTTGAGCGAATGAGATCGGAGACGGAAGTGAACACAGTGCCTGTAAAAAGCAAAGACGAGGTCAGCCAGGCGCATAAAGGAAGGAAAAGCGTATGAAACTAGGCGCTTGGTACTACCATCGTTGTAGAACTCCGCTAAATGGCCAGCATACTCGTGGTATATTTCAAGGTTCAGGGGCACGGATGCGAGGCGTCGCGCCATGTATTCCTCTGCCTTGTTGAGGTCGGGGTGTTTATTGAACTCAGTCTCATCCCCGAATAACCACTGAGTCAGGGGCGCGGCGCCTCTCTCGAAGAAGGGCGTGTCGTGCGGGCGGACGAAGAAAAAAGACTCGAACCACGAGCGCCCCATTTTCTTGCAATGGCTTATGAAATTGTACCCCAGTTTTGGGCGCCTATGCAGGCGGAAGCAGTTGGGGCTTTTAACCATAATGAAGAAATGGTGAAAGAGTTTGAAAGAAGGAAGGATATTGTGTTGACGACACTTGAGGCGGAAGAGCACCGTATACAAAATAATGACTGGAGAAAGGCGCCCAAGGGAACACTGGCACAAGTGAAGCACGCTGACACGTCCCGTCTCTTTTCAAAGACCAAACCATAACTCAAACCAAAAACCGGTTACTCCGGAGCAACCAAACCACTTTTTAAAATAAATAAATCGACAATGTTGAAGAATTTTTAACGAAAAGCCCCAACACTTGGGAAAAATTCTCAATCTCAAACACTTAAAACGACTTAACACAGAATCTCCAGTTTATACTAATAAACATGAAACAGAATACTTAACTAATCTAACTTGACTCCTCACGAGCTTTTCGATATCCCGTCGACGCTAGTACTGTTGCTCGCCTCGCCCTGCTTCTTCTCGTGGTCCATTTCTACTAGACTATCCTCAACCTGGTGAGTGAGAAGGGGTCAGTCTCGTCGTTACTTCCTAAGGCCTTTGCCCTAGGCAAACTTCTTTCTAAACACATTATTAGGGGAAAGCCTTCCTTAGACGAAAGTCGTTCTCACTTTCATTCTTTAAACTTTACTATCAAATAGTCTATAAGAGATCTCTACTCCTGTCTTATCTTTAGAATCTCATTACTTAGGTTCTTAATAACTCCTTTCAACTTTAAATCATGGAGGTTCTCAACTTCTATCCTTAACTCAAACACAAAACACTAGGACCACCGCGTTACGTCTCGCCGTCCAGTAGTGACCCCAAAAAACTCGATCAACTGTTGCGTTACGTCTCGCCGTCCAGCAGTGATCCGACCATCTACTGCGTCCAGTAGTGGCCCAACCGCCCGGGGGTTCCTCATACCATCAACCATACAAACATACATACATTCATACATAGCACCACGCGTGCCTCCACCCTAACAGGCGGTGGGATGCCTCACACACATAGCGCGCATACTAGAAAAATTAAGTAAATAATAATAACTCGAACGAAAAGCATAAACTAAAAAGACATCGACAGAGATTTTATCCCCTTTACACTCACCTCAAAAAGATGACTCCTCAATTCCTTCCTCGAAGAAACCCCTCCTTAGCCGGATTTTCTTGGGGAAACCTATTAATAAGAATCCATTTTCTTAGACGACCTTTCTTGATTAAAACCCCTTTTGAATCACTAGAACATACTCTCCTCAACTCCAGTCCTTGAACCTCATTCCATGGTCCCTTAACCTCCCACTAAAATTTTCTAGAATTAATCCCTTCAAAAACGACCATTTTTATTAATTATATTAGTATTGGACGAATTTTCCACCTAACTAGAACCTTCTTAAAAATTCAGATAATAATTTTCTCATGTCAATCAAAAGCCCCTATACTCTATAAAATTATCAAAGCCTTAAAAACCCCTTGGAAAGATTTTTATTTAATTAAAACAAATATTCAAACAATTTCTAAAAATAGAAATACATCTTCAAAAATTCTCAAATTAAATTAAAATCATCTACTAGACGTCGCTCAATTTATAAAATTTTTAGATCCAGAAAAAAACCTTGAGAGAGGCTTGAAACAATTTAAAACATCTAAAAATACGTTTCTGGAAATTCCCAGCAGCTTTAGTGACCAATCAATATCTGTCACCAAAAGCCTATAAAGCCTGTTGCTAAAACCCCAGAATTCTACCCTCACGAAAAATCACCAAATCAATCGATCTTACTCAAACGGATCGAGTTCTCTTACCTCTAGAACGTGCCTAGGCCTAGGTTGGATGACCCGGGACGTTGATCTCCTTGTTGATCGTACTCTCAACGTCACCGCTAATAAAAATACGAGCTTCGGATTAGTCTACCGATAAATCGAGTTTCGAAATCGCGAAGAGGTTTGTGATCCTTACCTAGAACGAAAGGGGATAAGATCGGAATTGAGATAGGGGGTTGGTATCGGCTCCCTTTCTTCTTCTTCTCTCTTCTCCGCGGCGCAAGAGCTTGCAAATATTTGAGAAGGATTTTTTTTCCTGCTGTGTTGTGTAAAGGGTTGGGGTGGGAGATTAATTGCTTGGGTGGGGAAAGTGGAGGCGCCGACCTCCTTTGGGCCGCGGTTGTAACTCTTAGTACGTGACCGTCAATCCAACCGATCACGTACTAAGGTCTAACCTAAATCTAAAATACCGGGGTGTTACACATGCCTTCAAGAATGGGGTCAATTGGGAAGCGGAGCCCAAAGCGGGCGTACTCTTAGTACACGTCGATCCAACCCTCTCCACAGACCCCTACGGGCGCGATGGGAGAGGGGTGAGCATAGCGCCAGTCTGCGGGCATCTGCGCCGCCTGGATTAATTTTGTGAAGCGGGAATACAAGATCTTGGACGTGTGCGGAGGCCCGGCGTCTGCCTCGGACATCAGGTCAATGTCAGTGGGCATATACCCAGAAGGCCACATGTTGCCCTATTGGCTTATCCCGAACTCTCGAGGCGCGCCGGTGCCTAAGTCAAAAGAAGAGGAGGAGGTCAAGAGAGGCGCTCAAGGGGGAATGCTTTAGGAAAAGGGGCGCTCAAGTAAGAAGCGGGGGGCGCTCAGGAAAAGAGTAAGGTAAGAGTGGGTTTTTTGTTCCCTCAATCCTCGTGGAGCGCGACGTGCAAGCACAAGGCGTGTAAGTAACAAAGCGTTACGCAATTCGTAAAACAAGAAACATGGAGTACCTGAGGCGGCGACTGGAGCGTCGGAAGGCGCAGGGTTGGAGGACTTGGGCTGATTTGTGGAGGCCATGATGAGAGGCGCGTAGGTAGTGGGAGACGAAATCTCACAGCAGCGAAAGGCGCCCAGTCGCGATGACAGAGAAGATGGCGAGCAGTGAAACTTAGAGAGAGAAGCTAGAGAGATAAGCTTTTGCGAGAATGAGGAGAGGAGAATAAAGAAGGAGCAATATATAGGGGAGGAGAGCAGGAAAGAGGATGGTAGACCGAGGGGGGGCGAACGGTTGCCTAGTCTGAAGGAAATTAAAATTTCGAAATTTGAATTTCCTTTCAGGCAAGGGGGGAGGGGGAGGGATCGCGAAGATCGAGGCGGAAGCCCAACGGCCCGCCTGCAATATAGAAAAAGAGGAAATAAATTGCAAAAAAGAAAGGGAGAGGGGTGAGGAAAAGTAAAGAGGGGAGGTGAACAAAAGAAAGGAGGCACGGCGTCTGATCGGCGAAAGTGAGGGACGTCGAGGCGCGGGAGAGAACCGCGGAAAGGGAGCGCGCGCCCGAAGTAAACCATTAAAGGAAGCACGCGCTCCCGAAAGGAGGGAAGGAGGGCATGCATGAGGACCTTCGTTGCGCCCTGGGGGAAGTTAGATCCCTGCCGAACGGCAGACGCCTAACTAGGGGGCACTTAAGGGCCCAAGAGGGAAGCCCAAAGGGCCCAGCAGGTGGGGAGTTAGGGCCTACCAAAGGGAAGGCCCAGCCCAAGAGGAGGCCCAGAACTGTGACCTGAGTAGTGGGTCCCAGCCTAGAGGGGGCGCCTAGCGACAAGCCGTGGGCAACAACCAGGAGCATACGGAGGGGACAAGAATGTGGGGTCGGGCGCTTCAGGGCCAGGGAGAATGTGTCAGAATGCCAGGGCGCCAGGCGAGTGGAAGTACAGTGCATTTAATGGCACAATGACGTAGGGCGGATTTGGGGGGGGCAATGGTCGACCCTACCCCGAGTATAAATAGAGAAGTGGGTGTAACTCCTTTACTCAGGTTGGAACTTCTCTCTAAAACTACACTTCACTTCTCTCTCTCTCTAGAAAGACTGTTCTAACTTGAGCGTCGGAGTGCTAACGAGCCCTGAGTGATGGGTTCGATGGGCTGTGGGCGCCTTTGTGCGCAGGAGCGAGGCGCGCGGTAGGAGCAAGCCTGGAGAAGGAGGGGGCGCATTGGCCATCGGGAGTATCGGGTTACTTGGCTCAAACAAAACTATAATTAGCAACTGTGTTTTACTTTATCCATTTAGGCAATTTACCTTATTGTTAGTTTATCAACAATTGTATAATTCAAGGTGCATTAACACTCCCTTATTGGTTTTTAATTAATCATATTATCATTGGTAAAATTAAGTAACTTATATCACCATTATCTAAAGATAAGTAATTTGAGTTAGAATCAAACTAATATATAGATTTTAATTAACGTACAATTGTTTAAAGCTGTGACATTGGTATCTCAACAGTAATATAAAAAAGTTATCCATAATAACATGTTTAATTCTAAATTTTCAGCCTTATGAGTGATTTTAGGAAGATGCTTTGTCTTTTTGATAACTTAGTTTAAATCTAAAGTAAAATTGTTAATTATTACAATTGGTAAAGAGACTTCGTAAAAATAACTCTATTTTTTATTCCTAATTCCTTAATTGATATTTGGTATTACAATGGATACAAAATAAAATTACAATCCATCCCGTCTTGATGAATTGATGATTGATAAGTTGGTTGAGAGAATAAGAGTGAGGAGGTCTACGAATGTAATTATCAATGGTTTTTTAAATAATTATTAGTTTATTTCTCAAGTAATTTTCTATGTATTGGTAGTTTTCTTAGACCAATGAAATGTAGATCACTATTCTCATTTAAAAGTTTCAAAACCAGTAGCCAACATAGTTTCTTTCTTAGGGCTTTTTTCGGCCAACTATAAGAAATTATGAGATAATATTACCTCAAGCTCAGGATTTTTTTATATATAATTGTCTTTTACAATAGCATCAACTCATTTCTTTACATCTTTTGATTTCATTGGTTTCGATAAAACCGTGTTGAGAGAATTATATAATTCTAATAAAAAAAATTCTTTGTCGCTATGATAGACCATTGATTACACATGTTTTTACCCCTATCCTTGAGCCGTTTGAGATGTCGATTCTCGCGTTTTAGGCCGATTTCACGCTAGGTTGTTCTTGTTTGTGATATTTCAGGTCCTAGTACGTGAATGAAGGTTTAGGAACGAGTTCGGGGTCGATTGGACGAAGTTTGGAAGTTTAGCGAGAAGCTGAGAAGCCACACGGGCATGCCTAAAAGCCACACGGCCGTGTAGGGGACCTCTGATGGCCGTGTGGAAATTCCAGGGAACTCACACGGGCACCTTGGGAAGCCACACGGCCGTGTGGGTCGTGGCCGTGTAGGAAGCCTGAAGCCACTTATCAAAACGCTGCAGTTTGCACAACTCACACAGGCAGCTGGGGATGTCACACGGCCGTGTGAGTCGGGATTTTCTGGTTTTAAGCCAATTTTCAGCAGAGGAGAAGGGAGTTCCGAGTTTTAGAGAAAGAAAGCGATTCCTAGAGAGAGAAAGCGACGAACCAGAGTTCCCAAGTGCCCTAGCTTGATCTTCATCACCATTGGAGCTCGGCTTACACTTGGAGAAGTGCCGATTGACGACCAGGAGCAGATTCTCATCCTTCACAGCATGATTTTTGCATCTGAACCTGCTTTTGCTTCTCTTCCATGGAGTAGTTTTCCCATTCATCTGGGTAAGGAGAACCCTAGATTTGTGTGTTAGGTCTGATTGTATGAACCCAAGTACAGATTCTATGATTTGATTATATTCAATTGAGGCTTCAATGATTGAATGACTTGAATCCTGATCAAATTCCTGTTATTTTTGCTTTAGCCTAGAAAGACAATTTCTGCCTAGGTTGATAGAGCACCCTTAATTGAAGGTAGTGAATTGGCGACTTTAGTCGAGGAGCCAATTCACTATTCTGTACCGAATTTACTTCGGTAGTGGAGGTTTGGTTCGTTAGGGCCTCAATCTGTTTACTCTGGTGGAGGTTAGTCGCCCGTTGGGGACTCAGATTGAGAGGGTCTGGAGACCTTTAGTCGAGACTTCAGACTGCTTAAGAACCTCCCGCAGTATAACTATCATTAAAACTGAACTTGGTAAATTGCAATCCAGCTTGACTGCAGTCTAGGGGGAACCATATCAGGGTGACCTCTCTCGACTTGAAACAACCGTTTAATTGCTTTGCTTGTTTGCTTAATTGAACTTGCACTAAAGTTTCACTGCTAGATAATAAGAATTCACTGAGTAGTCATCACATCTAGGACCCGGGTTGACAATAAAACCCAAACCCGCTATACTACGCTCTAGGAAGTGGTTACACTTGGCCATTTTCTAGGGTGACAGTAGGAGTGAGTCACGCTAACATATTATTCGTTATGCTACACATGCTTCGTTATTATTTTGATTTATTGAGTTAATTCATACTATTATTGAGAATTTTGTAATGTATCTATATTATATTTCCCATGGAGAATCATCTAATTGGCAGAATAATGCTCCAGCTTGATCTTCAAAAAACCAATTAAAAGAGATGAGACTTTGGTGCATATCAAGGGCTACAATTACTAGATTTTCATTCTCCCACAATTTAACAGACATATCTTGGTTTCAAATATGATTTTAAAAATTTTTGGGTGAAAAAATTATATTTATTAAAATATGTCAAAGAAAATTTCAACAAGACTACGACAATGTAACTTGAGGCATTTAATAATAGTGTTTATACTATTGATGTTACTCATCCGGCCAACGGGTGGGCCCAAATCTAGTTCTATACTTTATGTATACACAGTACACACTCGGAGGATAATATACTTCAAATGATTTAGTTATTGAATATATTTTAATGAACTTTAGCAAATTAGCATTGTCAATTATTATTTTTTTAGTATTTATCTATTATATGTTGGGAAGATTTCTATCTCCAGGCAAATTTGAGGGTACGTACCCTCAAAAATGCTATTTATGTCTTGAATTAACTAGAGCTTCGGACACCAAAATCCTTCCTATTTTCTAATTCTATAACCAAATACCAATTTGTTGGAATAATAATCGACGATTCCGATACATCGAAAACATTCAACATACTATATGCAACATCTTAGGACCTAAAGTTCCGGATTTAAAGAATTAGAACCTATATGTTTTTTAATAATGGTCACATAATTTTATTCATTTTTAATATATATAGTACCACATCGCAACATTCAGTTAATTTAATTGAAATAGTGTTTTCATAAGATCACGATCCCTTTAAATTTATTATGATTAGTATTAATTCACAACGCGACTACGCGAGTAGGGCTTATGCTCATAATATGTACTCACAGGTATAGGTGTCAAAACATAGCCCGACCCGATTAACCCGCCCGATCAACTCGATCCGCAACCCGAATTGACTAAAAGTCAACAACCCGTAACCCGCCCGACCCGCAACCCGATTGACCCGCAACCCAACTAACTCGCAACCTGACTAACCCGCAACCCGAACCCGATTGACCCGCAACCCGACTGACCCGCAACCCGATTAACCCAAACCCGATTGACCCGCAACCCGACCAACCCGTAACCCGACCGACTCAACCCGAATTTTTCATCTAATCCACTTGAATAATTATAAAAATATATAATACATAGTTTTTCAAAATAAAGTTTTTCATTCTAAACTTAAGTAAAATTATTTTTTCATTTCGTATAAGAAATTTTAAAAATATGAAACTCACTTGATATTACGTATTTTAAAAAAATTACAAAAATTGAAACATGAAGGTCACTTGAGATCATGACAATATTAATATAATATATAAATTAAAATTTTGGATAATTTAACTATTCAATAAAATTATCAATTAAATATAAATAAAGTAAAGTAATGTATTTGGTAATTTGATGTTTTTAAAAGAGAGGGAAATTTTGGTGTATTCAAGTTTTTGGGAAGAGAAAGAAAAGGGAAATTTGGTTCTTTGAATTTTTTAGAAAAGAAACAAGTGGGAATTTTGGTAGTTTTGATATGTAGGAAGAGAAAGAAGTGGGAAAATTTGATTCTTTTGATTATGAAAGAGAAATAAGGAGGGAAACTTTTGACTTTTCAACTTTTTGTAGAAGGAAAGAAGAGGGTAATTTGTTTCTTTCAATTTTATGGAAGTGAAAGAGGAGGGAAAATTGAGTTTTTCTAATGTATGGAAGGAGCAAGAAGGATGGAAATTTTAGTATTTTTTTGAAAAGAAAGAAGGAAACAAATTTGTTGTTTTCAATTTTTTGGTTTTCATAATTTTAGCTTTTGAAATATGAATCTTTAACTTTTATATGGAGGGCATGACTAGTTAAAATTATCCTTATATGCTTTGAAGGCTAATATGTATATATGTATGTAATTTTTTATGGGCTAATAAATATATTAACCATTAGTTACAACAATTTATACTAAACTTGATAAGTAATCTTTGACGGTTCGTTGTTTAGGATATAAAGTATATGGTTAGGGTATAAGGTATAACCGTATAAGGTACATATGGTTTAGGGTGTATATGGGTAGGTACAAGATATTGATGGTTTTGACGGTTCTAAGTTTTTTATTAACATATGTTCACTTGAAGTCATTTGAAGTCTTTAACGGCAGGAGATCCCTTTTTAATTTATGTTTATGGTACGTGGTTAGGGTACAAGGTATGTGGTGTAAAGTATAGGATATATGGTTAGGGTATTAACAATTAGCAAATATCACTTTTTATCTATGTTTTGAAAATCAAAGTATGAATTTCACTTTTAAATTAACTATACTAGCAAAATCACAACTCAAGGACATATGATTAGGGATAGGTTATGTGGTTAGTGTATAATGTATTGATGGTTTAGAGTATACAATCAACAACATATACTAACTTAATATTGTTGATTGAGGGTAAAGCTAAGTGTATAGGATATATGCTATTGAGTAAGTTATGATTGAAGTCACAATAATTTTACTAAATTTGATAGCTAATCTTTAATGGTTCAATTTTTAGGATAATTCGAACAATTTTACAAATAACTTGTTTGGCAACAGTTTACTAAAGTTATTTGGGCAATGAGTTATTTTGAAATAACTCCTTTTATCACTATGCTTTTGCCAAATACCACATGCCAAATACCAGATTTGCATGGTTATACTAAACGAGATACTTTAATCCAATTACTACTGAATTAATACTAAAATATCATATAAACAATTAACGGTGTCTTTTGGTTGCAAATATTGATATCACCATTACTATTAGCTATAATACTTTACCAATTATGATTAATTACATAACAAGTTTGCAAGTCATACAAATTGATTTAACATTTTGACTAGTTTTTTTCAAAAAAATAAAGTATATATATACGAGGTAGAAATAAATTGGTTAAAAAGTTGTGAAAATATTTTAAATTAGTGTAATAAAATGTGTAAGTTGGTAATGAGTAATGAGTTAAGTTACTTGATGCGCTGGCCCGAACAACCCGAAACCCGACCCGCCCGCAACCCGCCCGACCCAAAACCCGATGAACCCACAACCCGACTAACCCGCAACCCGTTTGAACCCGAACCCGATGAACCCAAACCCGATGAACCCACAACCCAACTAACTCGCAACCCGTTTGAACCCGAACCCGATTGAACCCAGCCCGAACCCGCCTGATTGACACCTATACTCACAGGTTTCTCAAGGATGTGGTGGGATGGGTGGGTGGATTGTAACTAAAGTAATTCGGAAAAAGGTTTTTTTTTTCCATAAAAACAACCGACATAAAATATTATTTGCCTGTCAAAACCATTACAAATATGATTAATATTGGTAGAATTTGTGTCGTTTAAATAACACGAAGCAAATATATTTTGGGGGGATTGAAACCAACACAAAACATATAAAATAACCGACAGTAAACGTAAGTTTTTTCGTCAATATTTTTTATGAAATAAGATAAATGTATTGATAAAAATGTGGGGAAAATAAACCATGTACAATATGAATGTTACTTATTTTTTCGTGAATAAATATCATTATTCGATTTATCTTTTGAAAAACATAAGTAATTGAAAGTGTTATTAAGACCGGACCGAGCCGGCCGGCCGGACCGCTAAAGTCGCCACCAGAACGCAAAACCGGCTCGGGCTAGTCATTTAGCCGCTACGGTTTTATTTAGCGGTCGGCGAGCTGTCGAGGCAAGTAACCGCTCGAGCTGCTTGAACCAGTCGCTCGGTTTTTCCCCTTCGACCGTTCTGTTTAATAAAAAAAATTGAAAAAGAAGATCGAAAATTGAAAACGAAAGGCAAAGTCGTGTGGCTGGGAAAGAAACCCTAACTCTAATTCAGTTTTTGTCTTCGACTCTTCGTGAACAGAGGGAGAAGAACGGCGCCAAACCCTGCCACCGTTAACACTTCCCGTTCTGGCTTCCCGTCGGCATCGTCCCCATCCCCAGTCAGCGTAGAAGCTCCCAACTCGCCATCGCCAGTCTACGTCCCCATCCCCTTTTCCCGTAGCAACTCCTCCGCTCCATCGTCACTTCCCTTCCCCGCGCTTCCCGTCACCATCGTCGCCATCCCCAGTCCCTGTAGTCGCTCCCCACTCGCATGTTTTGGAATTGTTAAGAGTAAAGAGTGTAATTTACTAATTTAGTCATGGTTTATCATGATTAAGAAGTGTCCACTGTTTATACTGATTGTTTATAGGTGCCGGGTTTTCTAACGGTTTTTAAACGGTTTAATGTCGATTAGACCACTAAAAACCGAGCCGTTCACATTATCGGGTCATACTTCGGTTTGTTTTGACAATGTTGACTGTTGTTGAACTTGTTTGCCACCGTGGATTGAGAAAAAAAAAACTTGTGTGCCACCTAGGGGTGGGCAACGGGACGGGACGGGATACCCGTCCCGTTTTAAACGGGTACCCACTCCCATTTGGAGGCCAAAGTCCATTCCATATCCCAAACCCATATGGGAAACGGGTACCCATTACCCGTACGGGACGGATACCGGGTACCCATACTACCCATAAATACCCAAAGTTTAAACCACTCAAATTTTAACAAAAGTTTAAACTTAACTTGTACTTACTTAACAATCACAAGACACAAATCATGAACAATCACAACGCATAGAAATAAATCATTCTAAGCACCATATTATCAAATAAGAAGTTTCATTCAACACAAATCATGAACAATCACAACGATGTGCCTGCGAAAATTAGGGTCACCAAACTTCTCCATCCAGACAAAGTCATCATACATTGAGTGGTATACAGGGTAACCTGATGCATTCAGCTATTGTCAGCACTCAGCAGGGTAGAAGGAAAAATGTAACTGATAATTTCAATGTTAAGGAATCATACACCGCTGAGGTTCCTTTCGCGATTGATGACTACTTTGAACTATGAAAATAATCTATGAATCTATGGTACTTCTTGGACAGGGGTGAGTTTAGGTTGCATGTCACTGCAGAGTGCAGACTACAAGTATTATGTTCACATAGCGTTCTTTGTTTCTTTACTAAGAAAAGTTTCATCTTTGTGGCGAAGTGAACATTCTCTTTCTATGGATTAGAGTTCGCAAATGGGTAAAACGGGTACCCACATTACCCAAACGGGTATTTGTGGGTAACCCGCGGGTACCCATATTAGGAATGTACAATCTCAAGTCTCATCCGTTTATAATATTACGGGTAATATGGG